GACACTACGAGGAAGTGATGAGTTGGATTTTCGTCGGACAAAAAAAATTGAATTTATTCGGATACTGAAAAATTTGGTTTTTTTGTATTACTATGGCACAATTTCATTTATTAGAAGGGAAAGAATTATGTACAAATGACAACACTGAAGATACATATTATTTACAAATAACTACTAGAGAAGTAATTATTTTAAAAAATTTAACTGTTCAGCTTAATAATGCCATCAGATCATCCATTGTTTCAACTCTATCAAATGCAAGAGAAGAATAGAAGAATTTTATAGTATTTATTGTTATTGAGTAAGTGTGTATGATACTTACGTTTCATCTATGATACGTATAATTTTTTTGTCTGGATAGGGCTCAGTGTAATCCATTCGAAAATCGATTACACCGGCCCGAGTTAATATCGCCGCATCATATTTGTCAATTAGTCCATCAAGATCCAATGGAACATGACGTCGTGAGAACGGCAAGACAAACTAAATACATATAACTATGTTAGTCTTTCGGAAAAGAAAAGTCAAGTGTGAAAAGAATGATTGAAAAATATCTTTTCTTACTTGTTTATTTTTCGTGAAGGCGAAATGAAGAAAAAAGTTTTTCTTCTTAACAATTTCTTGTATCTAGAATGAGACAAGAAAAGTTCGATTCGATATTGTTCGAAAATCATGTAGGCTTAACCTTCTACTTACTTCTTTTGCACTACTACCAAATTTAGGATTTTGTTTGGTGATAGATGACATTGTCAAATAGAAGTACAGATAGTTGGTCACAGATTTAATCTAGAATGTATAGATCAAAATGTAAAAAAGATGCTTACTATGTCCTCATTTTCATTGAACTTCCTATATTATATATAGAGTTCTTAGAGTTTTTAAGGTACATTTTATATAGATGACCTATAGTAAACCTGAAAATGGTTCGAATTGTTCACAAGTGCTGCTGAAGTTATCCTTTCAACCAAACACTATGATTTACTTGAGAAAACATAATGGTGAGAACCAATATATAATCTTTGATCTGATAATCATATTCGTAGACATGAATGCAATCGATTTGATTACATATGACTTACGAGAAGGACATTATTATTTTACCAGAGCTCCTCTTCGCCACCAAACAAGTTGGTGCCCATCCGACACTACGAGGAAGTGAGAAG